CGCCGTTCGTAATGTTCACGGAGTTTCGTTGCAGAAGTTAATATTTTGAACGTCGTGTTAAGTGAATCTGGGTGACAGGATATTTTGTGTGGATGTGGAAATTAATTTTGTTGGCGATGTATCGAATTAAATGAAGTTTCTTGGTTTTATGAGGTACGAGAAGATTGAGAGAACTACTGTTGTGGAATTTTTGAGCGTTGAATTTCTGTTTGGTTTGGAAAATTGCCTTTGATTTTGTGAGCAGTTTGGCGAGTTTGGTAAAGCAGTTCAGATTATAGTTTCGTATTGTAGTTTACTAAGTTACTTGGAAATATTTGGGAAACATTAAGCTATTGGGAATATTAAATATTGAGTTTATTTCAATGTAGGATTGCAAAGGTTAATATATTGTGCGATAAGTAAATATGTACCTTCATTTCCAATTTTTAGATGTTTCTATAGATGATAAACAGTTCTACAAATATATGCGACCTATTTTATTAACATTTTGACTGTCGAAACATTTTCGTATTAGACGAAGAATATAATACTAACATAGTATATAACATTATAAAATTACGTTGCGTTATACTTTCTGCATTTATTTTTTCAACGTTTGATTCTATTTATTACAACCTTCTTAGTACCGAAAAGCTTCTAAATATTAGAATTTATTGAAGTCCGGAACTCGAAGGCATTACGGTGTCGTCGAGCACCGGTAGATATGGAAATGCACTGTTATATAAGAGCGATGTTTCATACCAGTTCTCTCATAATGTAGTGTGAAAGGTACGATTGCACGCGATATACCAAATCAAAAACTGAGAATAGAAGTAAATTAAATCTCGTTAAAAGATACACTATCAAAGAAACTTGAGGTTCGCAACTACTAAATACTAAATACTAAATACTAAATACTAAATACTAAATACTAAATACTAAATACTAAATATTAAGTATTAAATATTAAATATTAAATGTTAAATGTTAAATATTAAATATTAAATGTTAAATGTTAAATGTTAAATGTTAAATGTTAAATGTTAAATGTTACATTGTAAAATATTAACATGTAAAATATTTAACATTTAATATTTAATATTTAACATTTAACATTTAACATTTAACATTTAACATTTAATATTAAATATTAAATTTTGTTAACTTAAGACTGCAAAAGGATTGTTCTATTTACAAATAATTCGAATCGTATTAGTTACCAAGGTTATCAGCAATAATTGATACATATTGAAAAATAACTCTCAAGGTAATGAGCGTTAAGAAATTTATATTTCACAATTATCTATAATAATAGCGTCAGTACGCTAACAACCGTACTTTTATTTCGTTGTGGTATAATAAAGATGGTATTATTACTAGCAATAAATATATATTAGTGTAACTGGTCTAACAATCATAAAAATTGGAGTATGTTATGGGGCAGCTGATAAATTGAAATAAACAGGATCCCGGTATCTTCTCCTAAGCTGACACCTTCGATATAATTCGATGTAATCTTTTTAAATCGATCGCTGCGGAGGCAGATCATCCCATAAGATCTTACTTGTAGTCTGACTTTGGTTGGCAGCCGGTGATTATCCGTGAAGTAGGAAGGGGCTGATAGATGGGGGTGCTTCCCGTCGATATTCTCCACCGCACGCTACTACTTTATCATCCCTCGGCACCCGATCGTCCATCATTCGCAATCACTTCCTTGCGCGTTTACTCTCGGCCAGGAGCTGCGATCAATCCAAATTTCGTTCCACTGCACATCTTCGAAGTTGCATCCATTTTCAATTTTCCGGTAGCGCTTCTAGTACTCGATATCACATTATATCGTTAGAATGCTTTCAGGAGATTACAATTCGTTATTAAAAAGTTGTAAATTGTTCTCGAATGAAACAAAAAATTCTATAAACTCTTCCACGTTCAAGCTTAAAAGTAGATACCCGATCTGTGAAAAGTGTACGTTCTAAAATTAAGTTTTACACGGTAATTACATTTATCGAATTCAGGATATAAACAAATCATGTTTCTGATTTTTTAAGGTCGCGTGATTTCCAAATACCTAGCAATTAACGTTCATTTATCATACTTTTCTAGCTGTTATTAAATTTAGTAATTATTATATAGTTCGAATATTCTCATTTTTACCGTTACTTAATTAGAATACGAACAACTTCTTCATTCCCGTGTCACAAATTATTTCTAATTTATCGCGAAGCATTTACGTATAAATGATTTTATCCTTAACTAGATATAATAGAAGCAGTTTCGAAACGAATGTCTCGCCAATATTAAACTGTACGACTTCGAGTGACACTCGCTCTGCAAATGTACCTGATCTGTCTTGTTATTTATTTATAAAGAAAAGGAAAAAGAACATGAATTCATGATGGAATCCAGTCCACTTTTGAAATGAAGATAGATTGAGCCGTACTTGGAAAGCAGTTAAAGAGTAATTTTAGATTTTTCAGTGATCCTAGTTCGGCAGTCCTTCATAAAAAGCGATATCTTACGGGAGACCCGGCACCATTTATCTCACAGTTTCTTGTCTTCTTTCTACTCCATTTACCGTTACGTCCGGAACATTAATTTCCCCTTATAGCCACGAAGAGTCGTGTTTATCATTAGTTCCCCGCCACTTAGCTCTGGAAAATATATATAAGGCTTCCTCTGACGGCAGGTTATGCCTACATCGTATGTATAAAGTCTGCACGGTACATAATAATTTTCAGACTGAAAACCAAATGATCGAAAAAACGCGCGCAGCTGCTCGCCATAAGTTCCTCGAATAAGTATCTTCAAACGTTGTAATAACTGTCAGGAGGGGAGACGATGGAAAGCCTGATATATAAGGCATGGCTGCGTGTCGATTTGTTCTGGAAATCTCTTCCAATGTTTCTAACACTTTAGAACGTTAGTTATACGGCCCCCTTACACGCTCTCGTGGATTTCAATTACGTACAGGTACGGAACAATCCATAAAATAATTACATTTTATTCTATTTTTAGACAAATGTTATTGGTTACGCGTATTATATTATTTTACATTTCGTTCTTAGAAATTTATGCGCGTATCGAACACCGATTCGAATGGAAATTAATATCGGAATTGTAGTCCGATGTTACGTAACTGTATCGCAGATAGTTAAGCGAATATAAATTTTCTGATGTGGGACGGTAGAAATTAGAAACGAATGAGAATTTATCTACATTGAAATGGAAATGTTAACGATGGCTATTTATAAAATTTTGTGTGCAATTATAATGATGATGGATTGTTCGAATTGTTGCCAGTTAGACTTCGCGAATTCTCGAAAATGACAATTTATACTTGTTTCACTTTACATTCTTTCGATTTGATAGATTTCCCGTCAGATTTTCTCTATTCCCTCGTACCTGCTGTCATGTTACCTTCCGGTGTGGTTTGAGGTACTAAATAAATTCCAGAATATAAAATACGGCAACTTAAAGTTAATAACCCGGAGAATTTACGATGAAGTACATCATCAACTTAATTTTATTCGCTGTATGTAACGATGCGTGACTAGTTGATGGTTAGAGTTAGAATCTAGCATTCAGACGACATCAAAACATCCTGGTAGTAAAATTTATTTGTGTTCCCCGTTTTCTGCGGCAATGACAATAAATTACAATTAATTTACAGGTACACAATTTTGGTACGGCTGTTATTCTTACTATTCCTTAGTGAATTTCAATTGCAATTACGTGTTGAAATTTCATACGTATACATAGTAGAGTTCTTTAGTTGCAGTCCGTTGAATGTTAATAGATTCATAATATTTTCCAACTAAAAATATAAATTGATTAATATGGGAGTTCGCATTTGTTCATAAAGAAAAAATCGAATCCGGACATGCTATTTAAAACTTGAAAGCGGTCGAATAAAAATTTTACAAATCAACTATCAAATCTGTTACTTTGATAATGTATAAAATTTTGCAGACGAAAAAGTGATTTCAATTATTTCAATAAAAAGACAAGAAGTTAAACTAATATTTCAGGAGAAGTTTTTGAATATGCTGATGCTACATACTTTCTGTATGTTTTCACACATGCTTTTATCTTTCTTTGTATTTTTCCATGAAGACAATAATTTTCATGCTATTTCAATTTTCTGTTATTTCAATCCATCGACAAAATAATTCGCCCGAAAACAGTCAGAACAATTCTAGCAGATAATGCTGCTAACCATTTCTATAACGATACACAGCTTCGTACAGTTCTGAACAAAAGCATTATCACAGCATGATTGTAAAGGTATAAATATTTGTGACTATTATAAAAATTGAATTAAATATTACTTAAGATTAAGATAATTAAGATAATTTAATTTTACATTAGAAAACTAATCACCCGTACTTTAATTAATTACCAACAAAACATATTCAAACTTAATTTTTCCTAAAATAAGCTCCCAAACGAGAAACATTTACCCTTTGTTCATTTACAGTCTCATAATTCTTAGTTGAACCATCAATCGCAGTACATACATTCCCTATAAAATTCCAAACAATCTGCTCTATAACTAAAATTCTTCAACGCATACAAGCATTTATATCCTAACACTAAGTTCACGCACAATACACATAAAATCAAAATAAATTTTTACCAAACAATCTGCACAAAATTCGATTCGTCCAATCGACGGATGTAAATCTAACATTAACAATCACGGTATCCTGATACTTTTGCCCGGAACTATATTTCGCATGGCGCAATCGCTCGATAAGGCATACGAAATACGCTGTGCGTACAAAAAGGCGTGTAGCATCATTTCCGAATGCGCGACGGGAGCATATCATGGCTTGCACGAAGAGGAACAGCCGACAATTTCTCGGAATAAATTGTAGTGGCCGGTGTCTGGATATCCCGCAGCACTTTTCGTCCGCGTGGAGGGTATTTTCGTGGCATTCTAACGATGTGTCACGAGATCTACGAGGCTGTTTGTCGGTGAGCACAAAAATAGGCCTCACTCTGCACTCACTTCATCACTCAAGCTACCCGCGATAGCGTCAACGCGCGCCTTCCCTTCTTCTTGTCGTTAGACACAACGAATGCCCGACGACTGGTTGGCTGAAAATGTCGGCGACGTCGTGCGTACCATTAGCTCGGCCGTCACGACGTTACCGTCGGATTAACCTTAGCCGAGTGTTGCATACGCGAACGCCGCGGTTTCATCGGAGCTATGCACTTGAGCAACTTTACGGCGCCGGGCCGTTTGTAGGACCGACCGGGAACGATTCGGTAAGTGAGACACGCCGATTTTTATGGTTCTTCGTTGAAATCGTTCATCGGAACCAACACCGAGAATTTTAATCTGTACGCTAGACGGTTGGAACTCGGAGCATAATGTTTTTTCCTGGTACGTTGGTGAATGACTTAACGATTCGGTTCGGTTGTTGTGTCGTTATGATCGCGTTGATTGTTCTATACTGGCTCCGGTAAAGTGTTACACGCCGATTTCCCTTGAATCACGGCAGATATTGTGTTCATTATTTTTTTTTTTGTGAAAT